ACCCGCAGCTTCCCCCCCCCCCCCTTGTCTTCAGTAAGATGTCCAAGATACAATCTTTTCTAATGCACCACACTGCACCTCACCAGGCTTGGAGCTGTCAGTTCTATGAAGTAGAGGGTTGCACGTATTGCTTCGCTTAGGTAGGTCAAGCTGAACACTCAACTGGATCTTTGTTTCTATCTGGGCAGCACTCCCCTTTAAGAGGGGTTACCAGAAAAGGGGAGTTGTCTATAGCCCAAAAGCAGCCTGAGACAGGCTACTGTAAGTTATGGCAACCCCTCAATGCTCTAATTTACAAGGGGCCATTTTGGTTCCTGGAGCAGCCCAGTATCTGGAGAGCACAAAGGGGGACAACAGAATACTCTCCTGTAGTCAAATATGTTATCTGCCTACAGACTAGCATTTAAATAGTTTATTTTCCCTGCTGTCCCTTGTGGCTTTACAACAACATTTAATTAGCAAACGTTCTCTGTTTAACATTAGGGGAATAAACACAAGTTACAATCTCTTCCTCCCTGGCCACCAGGTGTCTTTTCAGGTAAACTCCCTGTTGGTCTTCTAATACCATGTACTTAACACAGAGCTCTGTGTGTGTTCTCAGTTAAACTTCTCTTTCCTAGTGAGGATGTGATGTCATTCCATTGTCATTCATGGTTGCTACGATAAGCAACAGTTGTAGTCCACTCTCCAATTGCTGAGTCTGGGCTGGAATTTCGACACACTTTGTGTGGTAACAGGGCAGTACAAGCCCACCTGCTGATGTTGCAAGCAAGAGACCTAGGAGGCGACCGTCTGTGATTTTTCTCTAGCCTATTTCCCTTGAAGCATCTCCTGGTGGTCACTTGGGGGCTGCCAGCCTTTTGACCATTCCATCAACTAACCCTGCTCAAAAGCAAATGTGAATGGCCTGACTGTAAAAATGCAGTGTCAGGCCAATCTATGGATCCTACTGCAGCTAGCACTGCGGGGTATTTGGAGAAAAGGGCGGGTGAAGACCAGCCACGAATGCTCAGCATAATAAATGACAAATCCCTGTTCCATTTGCTATACTTGAGCCCCCTGCTTTTCTTTTGCAAGGGGCACTGCAGCATCAATGGCAAGATCACAGAACAAAGGGGAGCAGGGAAAGCAACATCAAGGTCTTTAAATCAAGACTGAGCATGTTTCTTAAAAAAAAAAATCACCTGGATCCACCACAACATATGGCAGCATTTGTCAAACTTTCTGAGCTGAACTATTTGAGTTATAATTTTTGTTTGCTCTTCCCACTACCACTCTGCCCCCAGAATTATTAAAAGATAAGTGCACGTGATGATCTCTTGGGGTGGAGCCATCACTGGGCATGGAGGCATTGGCACAGACACACAGACTGGGTGGCCAGCTAAGGTGGGTCAGGAAGTGGAGTTGTCTCTCTCTCGCTCCAAGCCCTACTTTATCCACAGTCAAAGCACAAGCCACTTGGCATCACAGCTCAACCCCTGAACGTTCCTCTGTGCCCCTTGGAAGGGTGTGCCCTGCAGTGTGATCTCTGGCATATCGTCTCTATGCAGGAATCAGTGGGTGAGGGGCTCTGGCCTCTGCTGTGCAGGAGATCAGACTAGATGATTATGGTTCCTGTGGCCTGGGTGCTAGCCTGGGACCGGGAAGACCTAGGTAAGGGTTCCGCTCCCAGCTCTGCTCCTGGCTCCCAGCATGACTCCAGGCAAATCACAGTCTCTCTGGGCCTCAGTTCCTCCTCTGTACTAGGGATGTTAAATATCGGTTAATTGAATAGTCGATTAACCTCATGAATTCTTATAGATTAGTCAACTATTCTATAGTCCCCAGAAGTGGGGCCAGCAGCCAGTGTGCTCCAGCCCCACTCCCGGGGAACCCCCGTCTCTCCGCGCCGCTGCCTCTCTACCAGAGGCAGCAGTGCAGGGTGCCAGGCGGGAGCTGGTCCACTAGGGGAGCCAGTTTAAAAACCAGCTCCCATCACGGACCAGCTGCCTGCCGCCCCACACTGCAACAGCCTCTGTCCAAGGATGGGGTCTGAGCTCCTGGACCCAGGACAAACTGGAACCAGGCTGCTTGCCCGCCTGGTTCCTAATACACTTTAAATGCAGAGCTGCAGAAGGGGTAGGTTCCAGACCCGGCGCAAGCTGAGACTGAGCCATGCTGCTGGCCAGCCTGCTAAAAAAATTACTGCTGCAAGGGAAGGAATGTATGTAGTCTATAGCATTAACCGATAAGCTTTTGCTTATCGGTTAATCGACTAGATTATTACAGTCCTACTCTGTACCATGGAAATTATAGCACTGCTCAGCCTCCCAGGGGTGCTGAGGATAAATACATTACAAATTGTGAGGTTTTCAGATACTTTGGTAAAGGGAGCTACGAATACCCAACACAGAACAGGGAGACAAGATTTTCCCTTTGCTAGGACTATAATCGGTGTGGGGGTGATGCAGAAGATCCACTCTGAGATGACTGAGGGGTTAAATACCCAGGATTAGGCTTGGTTTATATAACAATTTTGGAGTCTTGTCTCCTATCCTTTTACTTTTTAATAGATACCCCATCGGTGTAGAATCAAACCATTCAGCTGTATATGAATTGATAATCCATGGTTTGTCCCATTGTTTGTCAGGAGAGGGAAACATGCTCGAAATTGACATTGATATCCTGGTAAAACAACTATGAAAGTGCCTGCCCTGTGGTTACCAGTCGATCCATCTAGGTTAGCTCAGCTGGTAAGAGAAAAGTGATTTTAGGCATCAGAAAATTCCCCCCAAATGTCTCGAATTATGCTCACCATTAAATAACAAACTTTCCCTGGATTTGGGAAAAAATAAAAAAAATATGGAAAAAGCCTAGACTGGGCCCAGGAATTAGGTATTCGGTTTGCTTTAAAAGTAGGCCAGCCAGTCGAGAAAGTCAGCAGAGAAATATCCTGCTCGGAAAGTAGATGCTGCTCCACCCAAAAGTGGCGCGCGTTAATTGCTGAAACTAACCAGCCCAGCCCGATCTGTAAATGTCACCAACCTGCTCCGGCTTTGCTCTTCAGTCTCCCAGAGAGGTTTTCTCAGGACTCGAGCGCTCGCATCTTTGGTACCTTTGCACAGAAACCCGCCCCCTCCCCTAATTCTTCTTGTTTTCAGGGTCGGGGGTTTGGAGGTAGATCAGGAAAAAACCCAGAGCCAAGAACAGCAGCAGCAGGAGCAGGAAAGGCAGCAGCTCAAGCATGGAATGCAAATGCAAGATGGGCATCTTTCACGCGTTCGCCCCGCCACCAGGCAAGCGCCCTGCCGGACCCAGCTGGCAGGATCAGGGCTCAACTCCCAGCGGCTGCTCTTACTTTTTGGCTTCTTTGGGCTCAGTGGTTGCCAGACGGATTCTTTCCACTGCAAATCTGCGGGCTTCCTCTTAGGTCATTTCCTAGCAGCCAGAGCCAAGGGGAGGAGGGACGTGAGAGCGCTGATTCAGCAGCGCCATCGCCTGGTAGAACCAGAATTGTGCAGCCCTCTGTATTCACTTTCGGTCCTTCTCTTTCGGTGCCCTCACCTTGCTCCTCCTCTTCCATCATTCTGCGATTTGGGAGCTGTGTGTCAGTTAGGAAAAACTTCCTACCTATCAGGGTGGCGAAACACTGGAATAAGTTACCTAGGGAGGTTGTGGATTCTCCATCTCTGGAGATATTTAAGAGCAGGTTAGACAGACATCTCTCAGGGATGGGCGAGAGCTGTGTTTCTCAACCAGTGGTAAGAGTACTCTTAGAAGTCTGGGGGTTACTGACAACTGAAATTTGGAGAAAACTGAATGTTTGTTTTAAGTTTTACAGCATTTTATTATTTTTGTACTTTTTACACCCAAAAATTTCATCGCCTGCCCAGCTACGATTAAGCTGTTTAAACAAATGTGTTGCAATGGTAGAAAAAAAATAAGTGTGTCTGAAAACTGTCGGTACTGGGGATACTTAATTTTTTTTTAAAGGGGGTACTTTCTTTTTTTTAAAAAAAAGGTTGAGAAACACAGGTCTAGAAAGTATTGGGTCCTTCCCGGAGGGCAGGAGACTGGACTCGATGACCTCTCAAGGTCCCTTCCAGTTCTAGTGTTTATGATTCTGTGACACGCCCTTTCCCCTCTGACTCAGGATGACGTCTCCCACTCATAAGAGCTCTTCATCCACATCTGGGTTTTAATGCTAGGTTTTGACCATACAAGCTTTTTGACTTTTCTGTGTAAACTTAGCCCCTGTGAAAGGCTGCAGTGCTCTTGTCTAGTCACAGGACAGACACAGCAGAGAAGCTACAGCCCCGCTCCTGATCTGTAGGGATCTACCTACTAGACATGAGTCCTTCCCACTCTGTGGTCCATTCAACCTTTGGCCTCTGGGGCACTACCAGCATGGGGAGGGCTGCATGGGATTTTCATTAGTGGTTATGGTGACTAATGAAACATGAAAAACTGCTCACTAGGAACTGGGCCTGCCTATATCCAACAGTCCTCCTGCACCTCCAAGCAGCTACCCCACACTGCTCTCTTTCAGATCAGTTCATGTGCTTGAGGCTGATAAATACACTTTTCCTCCTTTTGGGTTTTTCCTTTTGTACAGTAGTAGTCCATGGCTGTGCACTCTCCTGTTAGCTTGGAAGTCTGGGTTTTGCTCATAAGAACTGAACCTCGTATTTTTGCTTTCATATTTCCCTTCACAGTTTGTATGTGAACTTCAGAAACTTGAAATCTACTTTACTCTTCTATTTTTCCCTCCCTCTCTAAGATACACAACCCGATGAATATGTTGGAGCAGAATTGCTCTGGTCCTGACACTAGGGTTTTACTTGCAAGGTAGGAAAAAACATTTGAAGAATTTATAAAGGGGGAAAAAATATATGAGCACTAAACATTATAAGAGAAAGAGAGGCTATGCCAACTCACTTTAAGATCTCAAAACAGGTGCTATAGAACACAACTTTATGTGCCAATGTTACCACATGCTTAAAGTGTGATGTGTGCTGGTTCTTACTCCTTAGCATGAGCATATTTAGACAAAGTAGTACAGGCATACTCTTGAAACTAGAAAGCAGCTTCAGTGAATGAAGAATGAGCAGCTTTTGATAATGTTCTGCAGCACTGCATGTAATGGATACATATGCACTAAGTCTGAACTTGTCTACCAGACTCGTGAAGTAGGTCAAACATCTGCTGCTTTAATTCTCATACACAGTGGAATGACAAAGCATGTGCAAATCCGTTTGGACAATCACTAGTTATTTGTGCAGTAATGGAGATCTAAGAATTGAAGCCCTCTCTTGCTTTGTAATTGTGGCAATGGCGCCCTCTAGCAACCAAGCTCAGCAACTTTGAAATTCTAAATTTTCTGCTTTAAATTTGTCCCTCTGTGCCTTTTGCTTCACTCATCTTCTGAAGAAGTGGGTTGTGCCCATGAAAGCTCATGGTACTATCTATACTTTTTGTTAGTCTCTAAGGTGCTACAGCCTACTAGTTTTTTCAGGTTGCATCTGCAGTATAATTCATGAGCCTTGATCTCTCTAGTCAACAGGAGCAAGATCAGGCCCTTGTTAAAGGGTGTTTGTCCAATACAATCCAACTGCATCACCCCATCAGCCTGGTCAATTCCCTTTTTTTTTGCTCAACAAGTTTTGCTATTTTTTTGGGGGGGGGGGGGGGGAATGCGAGGGTTTTTCCAAAGTCAAAAAGGGGGCCTGATGCCAAAAAGTTTGGGAACCACTGACATACAAGTTTTATGTGTTTGCAGATAATTGAAAGGCAAAGCCAGAAAGGAACATAAAAAAATATTTAATGTTTTCTTTCATCTCTTTAGACACAGGCACACATTAAACATATCTTGTGAAAAGAAACAGCTAGTCAGAAACCTTAAGTCTACGGCATGCACAGAAGGTCCATTCAGATGATCACTAGAAATGCTGCAGAGGATTAAGGTTTTGCATATCAATGGAGGCTTCAAATCAAAAGGGAAAACAACCTACTTCAGAACATTTGTTTTCCTCACTGAAGCACCCAATAAATACAGTTCAGTGCAAACATCCTGAGAGAAGAGTGTTACTGTACATGAGTTCAGATAAGTGCTAGTGGAAACAGGAGATATGCTATTGGAAAGTGTTCCTTGCAGAATTTGCACATAGAGGATCTAAAGGCCAAGACTAGGTGGGTACTGTTGTGGATTCCATAACAGCTTCTGCAATATTAGTGCTTTGTTTAGTTAAGTGCTTTGCTTTACCTAGATGATAAAAGGCACTAGGACAAAAACAAATGTAATTGCTGGTCGCTTGTGGGGTGAATTTCAGGCAAAGTAAATCCTCGCTGATAGGATTACATTAGAATAAAATTCCAAAAATCACCATCAGTTACACTGTGGCACAATCTCACGGAAATGGTGCAAACCCTATTGAATGAGTCATTGTAAACTGGCCTAAAGTCAAGTATACAATCCAAAACAACCCTGCACTTGAAGGTGAGAACAAGGTTATCTAATGGATCTTTTCCTTTTTTAAACCTGATTCTAGGAAATAACCCCAATGTACTAATCCTACAAAACCCAACAGTAGCAAAAATAAGAGCCATCCTGCTAATTCTTTGTTTTAAACCAGTCTCTCTCTTCTTTACTTAATGGCACCAATGCTCTCATGTCATCCACCTATAATGTGACTTGAATTTAAAGACTAATGAAGTGCACATTAGAAATATTTTAAAGACATTAGGAAGGCAGGAGGTGAAATGATTGTTTCATGGTTTGTCTTTTCATTCTACTATAGAGGGCACTAATTCCCACCCACTAACACAGAGCAATCATGCCATTTTTCTAAAGCCGCCTGTCTGACAGATCTCAGGTCTGTCCCAAGCCCCAGCACCAAATTTAAAGAACGAATCTCCCAGCTGCATCAGGTTCTCAGCAATTCCTAGGCTCTATGGTGATCAGAGAGAAATAATCACTTTATACTCTACTCTGCAATTCCAGTTATTTAAAGTTGACTACGGTTAGCTTCCTTCTATGATATGCTTACATTACTACAGAGGAGTTTTATAGCAATTCAGTGACAGATCATGAAGAATCTGAAGAGCCACCCAATTCTGGGGGGATAGATGCAGTGTGCGTATTCCCCACACTGACTTTTTGGCCATGGCATAGTTCAGAGATGTGCTGCTGTGGTCTATTTTCTACCTTCTAGGCAACCCTAATTTCCCCTCTATTGGTAGCCAAAGATCAGCTACAATCCTGAACTCAGTCTGTTTTATCAGAGGATAATGGTATATTTTCAAATGAACCTAAATTACTTGGGGAAAAGTCAGTAGGACTGAGAAATTAGGACCTCTGTTTTATTCTCATCTGGAAGTAACACAGTGGTCTCTAATTCTATGTAGGTTTTGGGCTCAACATGATGTTTTTTTGCCCTCTGAGTCATACTCTGCATTATACTTATTTGGAGTACTGTAGATTTTCCTTGGACGTCTTCCATATGACTACCAGCCTTCCTCACCTTGATTAGCTTGCTCCACATCACTTACTTTGCACCATCCTGCTTAACTTAAGAAGATGAAGTAAAAGCGTGACTATCATTCTGCTATTGTACAAATGATGGTTTATATTTTTAACTCTGTAAAACCCTTTGGTGACTCTGAATTTGTTAGGAAAGATGTGTTCTTCTATCTCCCTCTATCTGAAAGAGAATTATTTTACTCAGCAGTATTTGAATGGAGCTGAAATTGACATGCTTGCTTCTTCAGCATCACATCAATTGCTTTCCATAATGACATATCTGGCAAAAATACCTTTGATTGCGAGCATCATTGCACAGTAACTCTCATGTCTGAGTTATCTTGCAAGAGGGTGAAAATGTTTTTGGGACCTAATAAAAAAAATATTGTTCCAAAAAATAATCCAGAGAAAGTAATACATTAAAAACAATATTCACTAGTTTCCATAGGGCTATCCTTCATTATTTTAAGGTAGGTTAAAAAAAATCTTCATAGCATCTACTTAATCATGACAATCTAATAGCAAAGCAGAATCCTGCACATCAGTGCAAAATAATAATGGGTTTTGTGCACTGAAAAACTTGAGAGCAAATAGCATTAGACCTGCACACCTGTTTGTTGGAGCATTACACTCATAAAACAGACCCTGAGAGGCCCCACAGCAGAACACATAAGCAGAGTAAGGGGCATTTATAAAATAAAATTAAGCTTGCCACTTGTAGTGAGAAAACAATTCAAGATGGGCATAAACTTTGCCAGATGACGCTATGTTTAAGATGTCTTATAAATGTCAATGAGCAGAAAATCTGGGTGGCAAAGAGAAAAAAAAGTGTCTATGCAGAATAAGGGAGGGCTTACCAGTACACCAGGGAGATGAATATGCAGCACAATGGACAGGCCCTAAGGAGAAGGCTGAATCTTGGCAGGTGTAACACCATTTGACATTGGCTGAGTGGCACTAGCTAAGCCAGATGGGTTCCAGTGCATGAAGGATTTCACACTCTTGATCAGATGCCTCTTAGGAATACGTTACCAGATGAGTTGTAGCATTAGCTGATTATAAAACCCCTTCTCCCAAAGTGAGTACTGATGATGGTGGAAGATGCTCAGACCTCAACAAAAGCTGCAGTCACGTCCTTTGGTTTTGTTCCAACCACATCTTCCTCCAAAGCTAGTAGAGATATATTTGCAAAGCAGTGGCAGGGAGGAGCCATCCCCCATCCCACTTCATGTGACAATGGGACCAACAGTCTTACTCCTCCACAGAGCAGTTGCAGCTGATGGGTTATGCCCCATCAGCCCTCCTGTCTCTTAGTACCACTAGTATCCTTCAGGGAATATAGCAGGTTACAGAAGAACTCATATGAGAAGAAGGTGAAGCCAGTAGAGAGAGCAGCCTTCAGCAAGCTGGGGGATAGACCCTTAAACAATCCAACAGGCCCCTCCTCTCGCACAATCTGTCCAGCACAGTCCATTAGACCCTTGTATGTCCGAACCTGGGGGAGAAGAATTGAGAGAGTAAAGAGAGCAACAGTCCAAACCCAAGCCCTCAGGACAGGATTCTCTCCGAAAATTCTCTATTACATATCACACCTCAATGAAAGGGACATAGAGGACTTAAAAGGAAGCCATAGGCGGTATCTAAATTGTATTCTACAGTGGATACAGTGGAGATTCTAGGGATATTCACTATGGCTAATTGTCAGTAGCGGAGAATCAATTTGAGCATGTACTGTTTTGTAGTCGCAGGAACCAGAGCCACAAATTACAACATTTACCATTATCAGCAATAGCTTGCACACTAACTGAATGGCAGGAAATCCTTTAGACCATAATTCATGCACTGTTCATATTACACAATTTGTAGAGCAACCACTTCAGAATGTGTATACAGAAGGCCTCCAAGATGCGACTGCCTGAGTTCCGACCCCCCGCACTTACAACCATTTTTGTAAGTGCGGAAAGGGTCGTAAACCCCCGACTTATATCCTCGGCCCACATTTATGATGGTGCACAGCACCTACCCTAAATGCGGGTTTGAGTTACGACGCCCCCGACTTGCGACGCTTCCTCTGGAACCAATTGCATCTATTATTTTCCATGTAGAATCACAGACTTTTAGGCCATAAAGAACCATCATGATCATCTAGTCCAGCGTTTCTTAAACAATTTTTTTAATGAGGAATGCCAAGGATTTTTTTGTTGAGCAAAAAGGGGGGGGGCATTTTGAACTCTGTTGTTCTCTGTGGCACTCCTCCAACTGCCTCGTGGCACACCAGTGTTCCCCAGAACACTTTAAGAAACACTAATCTAGTCTGACCTCCTGCACACTGCAGGCCAGAGAACCTTACCCACCCTTCCTGTAATAGACCCATAACCTCTGGATGAGCTATTGAAGTCCTCAAAACATGATTTAAAAACTGCAAGGTGCAGAGAATCCCCATTTACATAAGTTTAAACTTGTAAATGAGTCATGCCCCATGCTACAGAAGAAGTCCAAAAGCCCTGTGAGCTCTGACACTCTGACCTAGGGAAAAATGCCTTCCCAGTGTTCCCGGTAAGCTGTTTACTTGTGTGGTCACTCAAGAGAGAGTCAAATGATTAGCAGAATGAGAGCCAGATGATTAGCAGTGCGTCTACAGCTAGGTTTTTTGTTTCTCCATTCGCACATGCCTCAATGCACATAAAATTTATTATACAATTAGAAAAAAACTGCATTTGGTTGGAAAAGTTTAGAGGGAACGTGGTTCCCAACCCCAAATGTGGTGATCAGTTATATCCTGAACATTTTAGCAAGACCCAACAGCCTGTCACAGATCAGCTGTTATTGTTACAATACCAACCGCACCAAAAATTTCCCAAGTGGTCTTTGAAGCCAGTTAGGGGAGAAGTAATGCCAAAAAACCTAAGAGACTATTCCAGAACTTCTCTCCTTTGATGGTTAGAAACTTTCATCTAAAACTTGTTGGTGGCCAGTTTACATCTATTTGTTCTTGTGTTAACATTGGTGATTAATTTAAACAACTCATCTCTCTCCCTAGTATTTACATCCTTCCCTCTCAAACTACGAATCTGTCATTGCTTCAATTTGCACATTAGGCCACTATTAACTGGAAAGGAATTTTTCATATTGGGGCAGAAAGGAAATGTTTCTCTAACACTATTTTTAAAATGGCTATTTTAAGTTGCTTAGGAATGCTTGAAGTATTTAATTTACTTTATAAATCTCTTTAGACACACACCATGTACTGAATGCCTACTCCATAAATTAAAATACAATAGGAAGATTTTCATGTCACCTTGATATGCAAATAAAAAAATAAATAGATCCAAATTCCTCCAAACTTTCATTCATCCCGTCTTCAAGAACACAGTGCAAGTGAGGCAGGGACAGATTTTTAAAAGGCACCTAATTCTCACAAATAAATATGAGTTAGGCATCTAAATATGTTTAAAAATTTTACCCTCAGTCAACAGTAAATTTATTATATGGCTATGAATACTGTCAATCCCCAAGGCCCCTTTGAGGCTCCCACTAGCCTATATCTACACATACAGACATAGTGTACACCACTCAGTTGGGTCATCTTCATGAAAGCCAATTTATTCCAATTGTCAACAGAAGTAACTGCTGATTGTTTATAACAGCACAAGCAAAAATTCTGCATTTGGCCAAGACTTCAGAATTTCAACATCAGTTTAACACAGAAATTACAAAATTAGCAAGACAGATGATTTTTAAAAGTCATGGTTATTTTTACTCATTACGGTCTTTTACTTAATTTCAGGTCTTTTCAGTAATGTATGTTTCTAGAAGGAAAAATAATTGCCTAATCAATGTACCTGTTTATCTGGGATGACTGGTTCACCCTAAATAACTGCTCAATAAAAGAATTTTCTTTACTCTCTTGTGAACAAATCAACCAATATCTCCATGCTTTGGTAGGTCTAGAGAGGAAATAAACAGAACCCTGTTCAAAAGGAGATGCTACAGCTGAGTTTTCTGGGTAATATATATTTCTTGCCCTTCAACATATGAAAACCAGTTGATCAAAATATCTCTCACCTGCCCAAAGGCTGCCCGGGCCTGCTCAAAGCCTCCCACCTGCAACCGCTTTTTGAACAGGTCAAAAGGATAAGTAAGGGTTTTGCTGATAACTCCGGCACAACTGCCACACACAAGGTTTTTAACATTACCTGAAAAGCAGAGGAGTGGAAAGAGAATGGAGGGAGGAAATGGAAGATTTCAAGGCAGTTCTAATTTATAAAATCATCATGGAAAGTAAATTAGAATAATTTATTCTGAGACTGTAAGTATAGGAAGGACCATCAGGATAATCTAGTCTCAACTTTTGCAAACAACAGGAAATGGAACCTCACCCTGGAATTTTTGCATCAAGTCCACAACTTTTTTGAAAGCTAAGCAATCTTAATTTAAAGACTGATTTATTTATTTATTTATTTATTCTGCAACTCTGTGAAATGGCAATATACAAAAGAAATAATAATAGAAGCTTTCACATTGCTAGAGAAAAATACTGGAGATTGGCAATAGACTATGGATCCTTGTACATCCAATTGAAGGTTCCAATCAGAACAGGCTGGTAGAGATCAGAAGTTGGTACCATGACTAAGTATTTCACAGTCCCAAGCACCTACCTTCGAATGGCATCACACATTCATACAATTGTTGCAGGAGATTGTAAAAGGAGAACTGGAGACCAGCGTATGGAAAGACAGCAATGATAGTGGGAGTCAAACCCCTGTAGAAGGTCAGAGGCCCTTCTGTCTGGTACATGGTTACCACGGCATGGCGAAGGTTTCGGTAAACCTAAACAACAAGGAACAGTACAATTTTCCGGTGAGATATACTTATAATCAGTTATCCAGAAATCAGTCACATTCCTGATATTGATCATAGGAATTCCCATCTTTCAATATACAGCTTGATTTTTAGCACAAGCAGATTAAGAAAACCATTTCCTGTAGTGGCAGATGGACACTCTCTGTTGATAATAATTAAAACCAACTGGCTGAATAAACATGGATTTCTTCCACATTAAACTAACTGAACCAACAAACCCTCAGTTCTGCTTCACACGGATATCCCATTGAAAGACAAGGCTGGACATAGCATAATGAAGTTGTCCAAACTCTGATTCTGGTTAAAAAAAAAAAAAAAGTCCTAGAGATGGGTCCTGATGACTGAGAACTCCCTGGTGTGAACAGCTTCAGAAAGTGACAATAAGGGCAGGCTGGCAGAACAGGACAGCTATTATAGAAGATAAGGCAGGATGTAACTGCAAAACACAGCTGACTTTACAGATAAAAAGAGTGTCCTTCACAGATTCTTAATTTACAAGGGTATGTCTACACTAGCCCCCTAGTTTGAACTAGGGATGCTAATGTAGACATTCGAAGTTGCAAATGAAGCCCGGGATTTAAATATCTCAGGCCTTATTTGCATGTTCCCGTCCAGTCGCCATTTTGAAATTCCACTAGCCTGAAGTAACTGTCCCCAGCTACACGCAGCAGTGAAACGGCAATTTGAACTAAGTCCTTAGTTCAAATTAACTGTTACTCCTCCTGGAATGAGGTGTAACAGTTAATTCGAACTAAGGACTTAGTTCAAATTGCCGTTTCACTGCCGCGTGTAGCCGCGCGCGGGCAGTTACTTCGGGCTAGTGGAATTTCAAAATGGCGACCAGATGGAAACATGCAAATAAAGCCTGGGATATTTAAATCCCGGGCTTCATTTGCAACTTCGAATGTCTACATTAGCCTCCCTAGTTCAAACTAGGGGGCTAGAGTAGACACACCCCAAGAGTGATGTCAAGTATGCTAGGAACAGCTTTTTACTCAAAAAGCTGAGAACATCTCTTGACCACTGTTTGGTGGCAAGAAAACACTAGTACTCAAAGACTTATTGTACTAAGAAATCTAGCTGCTACTTATATTTTTGATAATCTTCTGAAATATTTTAGCTCACCGGCACTTGTATTTGTTTCAGCGGTGCGTTTTCCTCCTCATAGACTAAGTTTCTCTGTTTATTCCTGCACTAAAGCCCTGGCACTGACTATATGCGGATGCATTGTGATTCCATTGCAAGCCAAGCAGAAATACTGTAAGAAAATGGCTCCAATTCAAAATTAAGTGTCTCCAGGAAGAACAAAGGGGAGAAAGAGCCGGGTATAAACAAAAATATGAAACTGGATTTCTAGAGGACTACTTTAAAACTTCATGTCTATAAAAACCTGCATGTCTCTTTGTACAATTCAGGTTTATGAACCAACAATGTGACATAGTTGTTAAAAATGATTACATCTTTTTGAGATATAATAGCAACGGTGTTGTAAGACAAGAGAAATAATTATCCCACTGGTAATTATCCTACTCGGCACTGGTGAGGCCTCAGCTGGACACTGTGTCCAGTTCTTTCTTAAAGTGTGGTGACCAAATGTGGACATACTGGAGACAGTCCAAAGAGCAATATACAAATTATGTAAGATTTCAAAACCTGACCTATGAAGAAAGGTTAAAAATACTAAAGAAGTTTAGTCTTGAGAAAGACGACAGAGGGAGCACCTAGTAACAGTCTTCAAATATCTCAAGGGTTGTAAAAAGGATGACGAAAAACTGTTCTCCATGTCCACTGAAGCTAGGATGTGAAGTAATGGTCTTAGTATTCAATAAAAGGGTACGTCTACACTTTCTCCCTATCTGTAGAGATTAGAGAGATTTAGATTAGATATTAGGAAAAGCTTTCTAACTATATAGATCAGAGAGGGGCAACCTAGACTAGTGAGTAGGCTGCATGAGTAGCCCTTCTTCATCTCAGTCAGTCACAACCAAGATAGTCTCCTGGGAAAGGATAGTTTTTCTAATTGAACTTGGCGTACCTAGACTTTATGGGGTATGGTGATTTAACTGTAGTGGTGCTTTGATTGGATGCAGAGGGAGCACCCGGCTCTCAAAACGTTGTGTAATATCAGCATGCACCTCATTACACGTGTCCTTGTTTTAAGTGCATGTCACTTTTGTAATACCAATAGGAAAAAAATTATGAGGATGAAAACAAGCAGAATCTGGCAACCCTGTGCATGGGCAATGGAAAGCAAAATGTCTCATGGGCCACATATAGAACACCAATGGGCCACAGGTTGCCCACACTGATATGGATAATTAAGCACTAGAAGGCTTCTAAAAAAGCTTGTGGAATCCCTATCACTGGAGGTTTTTAAAAACAGGTTAGGCAAACAGCTGATAGGGACGGTCTAGGTATATACTCAGTCCTGCTTCAGTTCAGGAGGCTAGACTAGATGACATCCTTTCTAGTCCTACATTTCTATGATTCTAGGTTTGAGATATGTCCCCTAACGAAGAGCAAAAGAGTACCCAAGTGAGAGCCATATCAGCCACACCAAAAAGAACAGTTTCTCCTTCGCTCTGCCAGGACAAAGCATGTGTGTCAACGGCCCAAAGGATAACTTGTCAGTAATGACATTAATACCTATTATGGGCTCCAGCCTTCCCAGATCACCTGCTGGAAGTTGTGCAGTATTCAGTCTTTCCCATGCTAATCTGAATGAAATCATGGCTACCATCAACCAATTTGACAAGTCTGAAGGTCTTCTCCCCTAACTCATACCTTAGGCTCGCCCTGAGCAGCAAAGCGGGTACGTAGTGTGTCAAGGGGCTGAACGGTCATGGTAGCAGTGCAAGCAGCCAGGCCACCACAAACAAAGTGTACGATGAAGTTGCGAGCGTTGTATGGTGTGGCATTGTGCACCAATTCTGTCAGGCACTCAAAGGTCACAAACTTTCAAAGAAACAGAAATATACGTCACAGAGAAAACTCTTACCACCAACACCTGTAACCCTCTTGTTTCTGCCATATTGTAACAAAAATAAATAGATAAATAAATCCATCATTTGCAATCTCATAAAGTGGATACTTTAAGGACACAGCCATCAAATTGGGAAATATTCTTGGCATTCAAAATCTCCAATTCTCCCTTTAGGAGAATACAGTCTGGGATTTAAAACAAAAAGGCATTCTAGGGCAATCCCATTTTAACTCTCTCTCCTCTCAACCAATTATTTATTAAATAATACATATTTGGTTCTTATATATCATCACCTTTCAATAGACGGTCTCACAGGTTCAGCAAACATTAATAAACTAAGCTTCACAACAACCTGAGAATTAGTATTATCAACACTGTCATTTTCAATGACCAGAGACAGTAAATGAACGAGAAAGTTAAGTGCCCCAGCCAAGGACTCATCTGAGAATAGAACCTACATCTCTGCTCTTGGTCCACTGCTCTATTATCAGCTAATCAGACTGCCAGAGTCTTCACTTTGGCAGTTATGACAGAATGCACCTGCTGAGAAAACCCCTATATGAACTAAAAATTTCAGAGTAAATCTAGCCCAGGACACCTTACTTGGACAGCTCCATAGCTGACTGAAAGGAGCTGAGCAGGCACATGCCCCTTCCAGAACGCTGTCAGCCCTTCCTCAAGAAGGATCCGGTGTGTGCTTTGCAAGATGCCATGATATTTAGCCAGTGGATTTCTGGAGGATATTTGTTCAATCTGAAGCTGAAGAAGAACAAAGAAAATATTTTATAATGTGATCTTCTTCAAGGGCCTAAACATGATCTTTAGAACACTCAGTGGCTTACATTACAACTCAGACCCCCCTTTTTCATGTGCCCTCATGGCAGCTACAACTGGCTAGATACCACTGCTGCTGGTCCTTGAGAGCTGGGGGAAGAATAAGAGGTATGTGCAATGCCAAAGAGCTATGATATTCAACAAAAATGTTAATACAACTAAATTAGAGCAGGTGTACAGAAAGGAAAAAGAGAAGGAAGAACAAGAAAAATACAAGCACTATGTACACAAAAATAAGACAGAGCAGTAAAAATACATCAGTTTGTTAATAGAAAGCTGAAATGGCCCCAAAGGAGAAATTGGTCTGTTTACCTTGTATAATCTGTATTTATCTCCTACACAGAGGTTTAATCAGCTATGCAATAGCTTCTGGGTGTACTGTGACACTGGCAACAATTTATTTAAATATTATAAAAGGTTAAAAGGTAAAGTGTTGCTTCCTTCTATTCTCTTAAAGGTCACAGGTGCATCACAGGGGCTGTTGGGAAAAGTACCTGAAAGCGAATCTTGATGACATCCAAAGGGCTGATTAGAGCCCGAGTGACAAACCCAGATGCAGATCCTGCCAGAGCTACTTCCACAGCTGAGATGGACTTCACTTCACATTTGGGGTCATAACCGACCATCACTGTCTGGTCCACAGGCAGCCTCCACCTGCATCAACCTACAGGAGCACTACAGTCCAAAACAGAAAAGAACGAGGAGTTTTCAGTGAGAGGTCTGCTTTAGGGATGTTAAGTAGCAATTAATAAGCTAATTGAGTAGTCGATGGAATTTCCATCGACTACTCGATTAGTCAATATGGGGGGGGGGACACAAGCCAGGACTGAGCAATTCCGGATCGCGCTGCATCCCCTGCTGCGCCTCCATGCCTGGCCTTAGGGCAAGGTGAGCAAGGCAGCTGTCTTGGGCCCCGTGGCTTCAGGGCCTCACGCTGCAATTGACAACTTTTTGGTGTGAATCAGGTGGCTAATTCAGCCTCACAAGAGATGCCTCAGGCACTGAAACTGCCTGATTCCTGTCGAGAGATGCCTGACTCTGGATCACTAGCTGCAACACTAGCTATGGTGATTGGCCCCGGCTACTTTCGTGCTATCCAATGGTGGCCTGGGCTTGGGTTTGAAGCCCTGTCAGAGCACACGCTCCCCACACTCCCTCCTGGCTGCTTCCTCCACCTGCCGCTCGCTGCCCAGCCCAGGTGAGCAGGGCTGAGCTGGCTCCTACGGCCCAAACAAAACTCACCCAGGGCTTGTGGATGGGTGGGCCTGGGAAGGGAGTTTCCTGGTCTGGTACCTGCAACAGGATGGAGTAGTGGGGGCAGTTCCTTTTCCGGCCCCACTCCCTAGGGCTCTGCCTGCAATGTGGCATCCACAGTCTGGGCACCCCTGTCAGCTTTTTGGCTGGGCCTGTGCGCCTCTGCCTCCCCTGTGGAGACTCCTGGGGGGAACCAGCTCCTGACCCCTCTCCTTGCTGCCTCTGATACTGAAGCAGCAAGAGAGGGGAAGCAAGTAGTGACTTGACTAGTCATTTACATCCCTAGTCTACTTCTCATAGAATCACAGGTCAAGTCCAGTCCTTGGCCCAACACCATCTAGACAGCAGTGGGAAACCGTTTTTCGGTCTGGGGCCACAGACCCACAGAAAAATCAGTTGGGGGCCGGAGCTGTGAAGAGGCTGCAGGGAGCCTGGAGAGCCAGCATGGGCTCCCTAATGCTGGGGAAGGCACTCAGCCTTGGGGGCCAGATCCAGACAACCCAGGGGCTGCATCCAGCTTCCGGGCCTTAGGTTCCCCACCCTCATCTAGGCCATCCTTGACAGGCATTTGTCTAACCTGCTCTTAAAAATCTTCAGTGTCAGAGATCCCACAGCCCCCTTAAGGCAATTTATTTCAGTAGTTAGCCACCCTGACAGGAAGTTTTTCCTAAAGTGCAACCTAAGCCTCCCTTACTGCAATTTAAGCCCATTGCTTCTAGTCCTATCATCAGAAGTTAAGAACAACAATTTTTTTCTCTCCTCTCAGAAGAGCAAAGAGATCCCTGTTACACAACACGCTAGCCTCAGGCCTGTGAATATTTTGTAGCCCCAATTTCAGTAGTTAGCCACCCTGACAGGAAGTTTTTCCTAAAGTGCAACCTAAGCCTCCCTTACTGCAATTTAAGCCCATTGCTTCTAGTCCTATCATCAGAAGTTAAGAACAACAATTTTTTTCTCTCCTCTCAGAAGAGCAAAGAGATCCCTGTTACACAACACGCTAGCCTCAGGCCTGTGAATATTTTGTAGCCCCAAC